AGAAGAGGAGGCTCAGGGGAGACCTCCTCACTCTCTGCAACTCCCTGACAGGAGGGGGGAGCCAGGGGGGGGTTGGTCTCTTCTCCCAGGCAGCGATCAGTAAGACAAGAGGGCTCAGTCTTAAGCTGTGTCAGGGGAGGTTTAGGTTGGATATTAGGAAGAAATTCCTTACAGGAAGGGTGATCAGCCATTGGAATGGGCTGCCCAGGGAAGTGGTGGATTCTCCGTCCCTGGAGGTTTTTAAGATGAGACTGGATGTGGCATCAGTGCCATGGGCTGGGAACCATCATGGTAGTGGATCAAGGGTTGGACTTGATGATCTCAGAGGTCCCTTCCAACCCAGCTGATTCTATGATTCTATGATTCTGGCTCTGCAACTCCCTGACAGGAGGGGGGAGATGAGGGGGGGTTGGTCTCTCAGATAACAAGTGACAGGTTGAAATGTCATCAATTGGAGCCAGGGGAGGTTTACACCGGATATTAGGAAGAATTTCTTCATGAGAAGGGTTGTCAAGCACTGGGACAGGCTGCCCAGGGAAAGGGTGGAGCCACCATCCCTAGAGGGATTTAAAAGCCATGTAGATGTGGCACTTGGGGACATGGTCCAGGGTGGCCTTGGCAGTGCTGGGTTAGTGGTTGGACTCAATGATCTTAAAGGTCTTTTCCAACCTAAATGATTCCAAGATTCTATTAATTTTGACTGGAAAAAGAGCAAGCCCCTTACTTAACTTAACCACATCCCGAAATATTAATACATTCACAACCAGAAAGATAAGTGAACACACAAAACTTAGGTAACAAAATACTTTACTAAAATATCATCCATGGAATATCTCAACATTCCCATGTTCTACACCAATAATGCAAACATTCTCACATGTTTTATGTCAACATCACACAGTGACCTGCACAAATCCAAGAGGAGCAGCATTCCTGGCAGATCCAGTGCAGCCCTTGTGTTCTGTTCAGCTCTGACAGAAGGCAAAAGTTTCATTACAAAAATCTTCCCAGAAGTGCCTGGCAGGGTTGTACCTCCTGGGTAAGGCTGAACCAGAGGAGCTGAGAGACCAAATCCTTCCTGCACGTTTTGGACAATGCTACTCTAAACTAAGAATATGTTGGTTGATGAAAGTCGTGAAAAAAACAAACAAACAAACAAACATTAATTTTTCTGTATTCAAAAAATGATCTTGGAAGAAATAGAATGTGTTGAGATGCACAATTTTAACCAACTCTGTGTCAGCTCTGTTATTTTTTCACTCTTCCCTGTTTAAATGAGAAGCAATGGAGTAACTTTTAGCTGACCTTTCCATAGCTATTCATAAAAAAAAATGATATAATGATCTTCTGACCCAGAAAGCATAAAAATGTTAGGGGAGGGCTCTGCTTTCACAGACAAACTGCCCCCAAATAGCCTAAATTCTTTTATTAGCCCATACAAAATTTAAAAAACAAGCCTATGTACACTCCAGTATCGTGTTTACAGTTCTAGTTATATTTCTGTTCATTTTGTGATGGTATTTCATAGGAAAATATATAGAATTTAGCAAAAGGCCACTAGTATTGTTTTGATTGTGTTAAAATTCATGATCTGAGGCCTAAGCTGCAAAAGCTAATTTCATTTAGCTGATACATATAAAGTCACTAGCTCAGTGGTTTTGTTTAAATAAATGAATTTGCCTTACATGCAATCATTTTCTTTTCTTAAATCACCTTCTCCAGCAGGATTAATTATTGTTAATTTAATATATTTTTATTTAAAGCAACCCAGGGAGCTGGGGGGGGTTTACTCTGGAGAAAAAGAGGCTCAGGGGGTTGTGGCAAGGTGGGGATTGGTCTTTTCTCCCAGGTAACGAGTGACAGGACAAGAGGAAACGGCCTCAAGTTGCACCAGGGGAGGTTTAGCTTGGACTTTAGGAAAAATTTCTTCACAAGAAGGGTGGTCAAGCATTGGAACAGGCTGCCCAAGGAAGTGGTGGAATCACTGTCCCTGGAGGTGTTCAAAAAAAGTGTAGGTGTGGTGCTAAAGGACATGGTTTAGGGGTGGACCTGGCAGTCTTGGGTTGATGGTTGGACTGGATGATCTTTTCCAACCTAAACAATTCTATAATTCTATGAATTACCAAATCAATTTTTAATTAATGTGAGCACAGAGAAAACCAGACGTCGAGAAAAATTATGTGCAGCAACCAAAATCAGTTCTAAACCACCCAGTTCCCAGCTGGGAAACTGCTTTGCAAGGAGAAGATCAAGCTCCCTGAATCCATAACATTTCAACCTGAACTCATTTGCTCCTCAGCAGAGATTTAAGCAAAATGCTTATAAATAGGCCATCAGAGGGTTAACAACATATAATCAGTGGGGACAAAGTATTTGCAAGGCAGCAACAGAGGCATCTTGCACAGGTCACTTGAAATGACAAACAGACCCCCTGGTAACAGGATCCAGAATGGGATGGTTTCTTAGAGCATTCCTGAGGACCTCATTCCTCAGCAGAACAGCTGAATTTCATAGAATCACAGAACGGTTTGGGTTGGAAGGGACCATAAAGATAATTTATTTCCAGCCTCCCGCCACGGGCAGGGACATCTTGCACTTGAATTTAGCCCCAAAGATGTAGTGGTAGAGCCTGCAAAAGTGATTAAGAGGGAATAGCACCATCTTCCCAGTTAGTGGCTGTATCCAATAAATTAGGAACACTCCTGAACTAAAGTAAAAGCCACAGTCAAGAGGTCGAGCAGAACTTGGCCCTCGGGGGTAACTTTTTTTATGCTGATACAAAGCCCCAAACTGCTCAGGAGGGACATAGTGCCACCCACAAGCTGCCACAGGCCAGGGAAACAACCCAACATTCTGTCTCCTGAAGGGAAACTTTATCCTCTCCCACAACCTCAGCCTGAGGGAAGAGCAGAAGCTGCAGGAGCCACCACAGCTCTTGGGTGTCAACACCCCGTGGAGGTGAACAGCTCAACACACCCAAGTGTAAATGGAGATAAAGATCCCTGGGGTTGCACAGCTGGACTGGTCCTGCCAGCTGGGACAAAGCTGGCACCAGGCACAGAGCTGGAAGTGAGACCTACAAGCAACTGCAGGATTATTATATTATTATTATTATTATTTATTATTATATTATTATCTGAGAGCAAGAAGAGACCAAGATGACATCGGGCTGATTATGCTGTCCCAGCTCACAGACCCTCCATCCCTAACATCCAGGGAGTTAGGAGACCAGGAAGCATTCCTTTTGCTCACCATTTTTCCATAAATTAAAGGAATAGCCAGCCTGCACCTTGGGGACAAGGGCAACGAATGGCAAAAGACATTTCTGCAGGTTACCTGGAAAGAACAGGGATTAAATAGCCTGACCCATCTCACCAGCAGCAAAAGTATTCAGAAAATAGCTGAATTTTAAATAAAATTGAGATGTTAAAATATTTCATTTATTTTAACAAAATATTTAAAGTTTAATAAAAAATATTAAAATGAAGAAGGTTACTCTTCTGCCAAACAAATAAATATATTTTTTTCATCATCAGTGGTCAAAAATCAGTGCATGAGCTCAGGTTACTCTACACCAGAAGAAAATAAATTATATATTATTACTGTTACTAAACACTTTTCAGGATGGGGCATATTCCTGCTGAAAATATTTATCCTGCTCTTCAGACACAGGCAAGTAAAAAGAGACACCTGAACAGTCCAACTTCAATAAAAATAAAAAGAAACAATAAAAATAAAAATAAAAAATAAAAATAAAGTAATAAAATCTCTTTCCCTGTCTTTCCTCCTGCTCCCTCGTGTGGGAATGAGCCTTTCTAGGTGTCAAATCCCCTCAGCTCTCAGGCCATTTTCTCCTTGGGAACAGCTCCACTTTTACTGCTCCCTGAAAAAAAAAAACATTTCACACATATTACAGGCATTTGCTACTTCTTTGCTGATAAAACTGACCTTTCCTGTGTGAGAAAGAAAATCAAAAGAGGAGCATAAGGCAGGATTTATGAACTCCTTTCTCCCTCCTCACAGCCCAAAAGCATTTTTCGCATCTTCCACTGTAAAGACTCAATTCTTTGCCTCTGGAATCTACAAATATCCCGGAGATTTCATGATCTTTGCTTGGGAATGAAAGGAGAAACAGAACTCCCAGCCTGAGGGATCACTTGAGCACATTATCCCACTTGTCTTGTTTAAAAGACAAAAATCCTCCCACCTTCTCCCTTATTCACCCAGTTTCTCACAGCAAAAAAAATGTCTAAATCACCCTAAGTGACTTTAGTTTAGCCTTGGGAAACCATTTACAGAAGGTTTCAGGCAATCAAAGTGAGCCACAAATATAAAAGATGTCTCTGGGGTCTATTTTAATCAAAAGAGCAGGACACCCTCCACTGGCTCCACCACAGGTATTTTCAGCAGGAGACACATCCAAGGGAACAGATGAAGCAGCTTTACACGTTCACCAGGTGACCTGAAGCCCCCAAGGTTGTCCCAAGAGCATTGCATGGGAAAATTCTTCCATCTCTGCAAAAAAAAACCTGCGTGGAGACCGAAGGAGGGATCTGTGCCAGGATGCAGCTCTGCCCACACAGAGCCCGCTGCAAGGGCAGGGCTGCGGTTCCCTCTCCCAGGAGAGGAGCATCCTGACAGCTCCAAATATCATTCCTTAAATGCCTGCACAGATGGGTGCAGGAATCTATCAGGGGCGACCAGGAGGATGGTGCAAATTTTAGTCTCTGAACAAAAAGTGCTTTGACTTAAGTTTAGCACTGCAGGAACGTTCCCAGTCCTTTAGCAGCAGGATTTGGAGGGCAGGGCTGCAGGCCTGGATCTCCCAGAAAATAATAATAATTGTGTAGAGAAGGGATGCAATGGAGTGAAGGGGAGAGAAAGGGATTTGCATGTTCTTGGGCAGAAATTGAGAATTTCTTGCTGGAAAGGGTGGTCAGGCACGGGAAGGGGCGGAGTCCCCATCCCTGGAGGTGTCCAAGGAATGACTGGATGTGGCACTCAGTACAATGGTCTAGTTGATAAGGTCCAAGGGGGGACTTGATGATCTTGGAGGTCTCTTCCAACCTTAATAATTCTATCATTAAAACAACCACTTAAAAATCTCTAACGTGCTGGACCTGGAGTTAACTGGGAGTTTTGCTGGGGTCAAGAGCAGCCCTATAACAGCAGAGGATTTCAGTGTGTTAATTCCAGCAGGGAAGGTGCTAGAGCACCTCTCCACGGTTTTCTGTCACCAAGTGGTTCCAGTAGCTCAGCTGCTCGGGTGGTTCCACTTCGTGGCACATCACGATTTTCTTAAAGCGGGAAACGGAGAACCTGATCCTTTCTGGAAAAAACGTCTGCTCTGAGTGGAGCTCCTCCAGCCTAATTTTTAATTTGGCAAGGCACAGTCCTATGAACACATCCTCCAGCTTAATGAACGAAACGCTCTCAGAAACATGATAGATCTGACTGGCAACGTCGCTGGATAAAACATATCCAGTCCCGGAACAGAAGGGCGGGTAGGTCTTTCCTGGATACTCTTCCCTACTCACATACCACTTGCTCCCTCTTCTCCTTATGGGGTACTCATGCAGCTTTAAAAAGCCTGTGAAGAACCCAGTGGCCTTCTCCTTCCTCAGAAGCAGCTCAGTGAGGTAAAAAACGTTGACAAACACGTCTGTGTCGGTTTTCATCACAAAGCTGGACTGGGAACAAAACCTGTGGACCCACTCCATTCCCATCATGGTCTTCAAAGTCAGGTTGTAGTAAGTGTCCGTGAAGTTCTTTTGGATGATATCTCCGTACTTTTGGCCCTCAGCAGCGATGTCAGCCTGCTGGCTGGGATCCACAGCGCTTCCCAGGAGGAAATACGTCACCAGGCGCTTCCCGGCGACCGTCCTCTCCTTGCCCCAGGTCTGCCGGATGGCCATCCTGGCATCCAGGTGCTGGCACGAGGATGCCACGAGCAGGACGAGGAAAGGAGGGTTCTTGTGGCAGTCTGTGTCTGGGAGCTGGGAGAAGTTTCCTTCTATCCTCCTGAAAGGCTCTGTGGGGAACAGGTAACCTTGGCCGTTCTCACAGAACACGCAGAACTCGGCCCAGTTGTAAAAAAACCACAAGCTGCCACAGCTGAGCCCGAGGAGGCAAACAAACAGCCTGAACTTTCTGAAATCCATCTGAAAGAAGCAGGAAGGAACAGCACATTAATAAAAATAATATCTAGTTCCTTTCAATAACATCTAGCTCCTTTCAGTGCTGTGCACCAAACCCCCTGCACAGGGATTCGAAGCCAGGGCATCACTAATTGGAAGCTGCCTGTTTCAGGGCAGTCACCCACACTCATTTCTCCTCATGCCATCCCCACAAGATGTTCTGCTGGCCATCAAATTCACACTCCTGCTTACTTTAGTCTTCCCTCTAAGCCACTGTATCCTCAGAAATCCACACAAGCACATCCAGGTTACCTTGGCTGATGCTTCAAACCTCCTCCCCATTTTCAGCGTCTCACAAACCATGATTTAGACCCACCGAGCCAGAGTGGAGAAGCAGCAGATATGTGTCCATGTCAGGTGACAGAGAATAGCAACAAGAGGGGTTTTTTTAAATACCATGGTTCTCCATTTGTGCCTGTGTCCCAGAGCCAGCAGGTGTCCCAGGGGCAGACCCAGCCAGGTTCCTCCCATCCTCATCTTCCTTGTGTCCTGTGGGGCTCTTGCATCAACCCAGAAACTGCTCCTGATCTTTCTGCTGGAGGGGCCATGAGTCACATCTTTGAAGCTGGGTCAGCTGCTCAGAAAAAGAAAAGAAAAAAAAACCAGCAGTGGGTCACATTGTTTGGATGGTTCAGCTTGTGCAGAGTTTAAGTGACTCACTAGGGCATGCTGAGGTGAGAAGGGGGCTGTTCTGTCCCCCTCTCCTTTTTACATGAAAGAGATCCAAACAATAACAATGTTCACTCATTTATCCTTGTAAACAGACTATTGTGCTGCACATCAGGTTACAAACCTGAATTTTCAGAGAGAGAAAAATTATCGAAGCAAACCCAAAAAGGTCACGGTGACAAAAACATTGCACATCTCTATAAATTAACCTGGTGAGAAGAGTTTAATGCATCAGTTACTCACCCCAGTAACCCACAGGCCCACCAGCCACTATTTCAGAGCAGTAGGAGGGGGCCATTTCCACCTTCTCCCTTCTGGAAGAATTGTACCTGTCTTCCCATCTAAAAACACAAATTTACAATCCCTAGAGCTGTAGATATCATGGAAATTTGATCTCTGCCTTCTGACCAGGAATGCTCTGTCTAGACTCCCCCAAATCACGTTAGTGCCCTCCTTCTGCCCATCCATAAGCATTTTGCTTAAATCTCTGCTGAGGAGCAAATGAGTTCAAGTTGAAATGTTATGGATTCAGGGAGCCTGTTCCTCTCTTTGCAAAGCAGCTTCCCAACTGAATTTGAACCAATCTCTGTTCTAGAGGTCATTTTGAACAACATCCAGTCGTTTTGCATCAAAATAAATCTTTCTGGTTTTATAGGAAGTCCTTCTGCATGACGTTATACTTGATTTTTCTCTCTGATGTGAGTCAGAAATCACGTATTTTAATTATCTCAAAGCTTTTTACATCTCCCGTTTGTTCCAACTGCAAAATATTTTACGGAGGGCACTGCCAAAAAAATTACCTGAAAAAAAGGCTCTGCTCTCCTGACACCCCAGTTTTGCTGCATCCAGCTCTGAGTGTAAGAAGGACATGGACCTGTTAGAGTGAATCAGAGGAGGCCACGGAGATTCTCAGAGGGATGGAGCATCTCTGCTGCAGAGAGAGGCTGGGGTTGTTCAGTCTAGAGGAGAAAAAAGGGTCTGTGGACACCTTAGAGCCCCTTCCAGTATCTAAAGCAGTTCCAAGAAAGCTGGAGAGGGACTCTGGACAAGCACATGGAGTGACAGGATAAGGGGCAATGGCCTCAAGCTGAAGGAGAGTGGGTTTAGAGAATCTCAGAGTCACAGAATCCTTAAGGTTGGGAAAGACCTCTAAGATCAACAAGTCCAACTGTTTCCCCAGCATTGCCAAGGCCACCACTAACCCATATCCTCAAATGCCACATCTACATGTCTGTTAAATCCCTCCAGGGATGGGGATTCCACCACTGCCCTGGGCAGCTGTGCCAGGACTGGACAACCTTTTAGGTGAAGAAAGTTTTGCTGATATTCAACCTTAAACTCCCCTGGCTCGACTTGATGCTATTTTCTCTCATCCTGTCATTTGTTTCCTGGGAACTTTCCTCCTCCTTCATCTCATCTTTCCACCCTCCTCCTCCTCTTTTGTCTGCACCAGGATTGCATTTTTGCTTTTCTCTTACAACGTGTTTTAAAAGCTCTGAGGAAGTAACAGTCTTGTAAAATAAGTTTATGCAATAGTTCATACAATAGAGCTAAAAATGTAAGAGGAGCTCTTACAAAACTCTGAAGAAGAAAACCCACTGAATTCCTACAAAGCAACTTGGACCAAGTGAGATCCTGCTGGATTAAACTGCCACTGGTGTCCTCGCCTCCTTTTAAAATACATATTTTCTTAAGTTTTCCTAATCTCTAATTTATTTTTTTTTCTCCAAGGTACTGAAAAAGTAGGAAAATGCTCTCTGTTCATTAATGTTTTCATTTCAGTGACCTGTATTAACGCTCATCTATGAACTTTAAAAGGGACTATGAGATTTGATAGAGAACAACATGTAAGTACATCTGACCTGTAGACAGACAAGGCTCATCTCATCCAAATAACCAAAGGATTCTGGAGCTGGGGTTGACATTCTAAGCATCTTTTGTGATTGAATAGGTAGAATAATAAAAGGTCCCAGAAAACAATTTAAAAGTGTGGGGCTACAGGTTTGTCAAAAATTATTCTTCATAAATTAGGCATCAGGTTTTTTATGTTGAACAAAACCTGATGCACTAAAGGCACAAAACCTTTCACCGTTGGACACAACAAATATAAACCAGGTTTGACACTTTCCAATCTCTTTTCCTCTCAGCCCCTGCTCCCTAAAGCCAGGCCAGAGCACAGTTCTGGGCAGGTAACAAAGCTTTTCTGTGTGCAGCTGAGCCAGCCCAGGGCATTCCATCAGTCCCTCAGGATCCCCAGCATTCCCATGCTTTTCCTACCTCCAGCCACAGCGAGGGTCAAATTTGCACCTCGGCTTTGGGAAGTGAATTTTGCACCTCAAAACACACCAGATGGGAGGAGGAAATTCTTCTCTGTGAGGGTGGGGAGGCCCTGGCCCAGGTTGCCCAGAGAAGCTGTGGCTGCCCCTGGATCCCTGGAAGCGTCCAAGGCCAGGTTGGACAGGGCTTGGAGCAACCTGGGATAGCAGAAGGTGTCCCTGCCCATGGCAAGGGGTCAAACTGGATGATCTTTAAGGTTCCTTCCAACCCAAACCATTCTTGTGGTTCTATGAAGAAGGTAGTCAAGGTCTGTGATCCAAATCAGTCAAACCACAGCCCTCTCTACTTTGGAAGTTCCCACTTCCACGAGTGGCACGAACTTCCCCCTGAGTTCTGCCAAGTTGAGCAGGTCAGCTCTGGGGTCTCTCTGCTCACACCACTGACCCTCGTGGAACTCCTTCACGTTTCACAGTGATAAGGCCACGGTAAGTCCTGTGACAAAGCCTAGTTATTCCACCAAAATTAATGTGACACCTCCTTTAGGCCTGTTAATGAGTGTAATTATCTGAACGGCACCAAGAGATCAAGACTGTCTGCCACACAGTTCAGGAAAAGCAATCTGGCCTGAGGCAGAGGGAGGTAAGTAGGTCTAGAGTCCCCCCGGGGAAACAGGTTTAAAATATCAATTAAAAGAAATGCGGTTTTCTTAACTTTTCTGGGGCAAAGCTCCAGTTGTGCCACTGAGCCCAGTGGAGGGTTGGTGTTGTCTTTGCATTGAGGTGTCACACGTCAGGGAACGACCCAAACCACAAATGACCAAAGTGCTTTTGGGCATCTGCAAGGAGTCCCCACTTTGTAATGAGGCTCAAGCAGCTGTGACGAGGAAGACCCAAAAGCAGAGGCACAACTGAAGTGCCTAAACTGGACTCACAACCCCAAATACTGCACAGTTTAAGTCAGCAGTTTTATTCCCATTTTCCTTTCCTGATCATGGAAAGTAACATGTGCCCTGGTGTAAGTACTAGGAATAGCTGCTAACTCCAGATTTTCCTTGGAATAAAGCCCCTAAATTGCTTTCTCATAAGCTCAGCAGGACACAAGGAGGGATTAAGCACACACAGATAATAAGAAAATGTCAAGTGCAGTGGGAAACATTTCTCTTTTCCTACATGCAAGTGTTTCAGAGGAGCAGGGGCCAGCTTGGGGCTCTCAAAGATGATGTCTCTGGCAAGGCAGTGGATTCAGCACTGCCTGGGTCACTGTTTTTATGGGAAAATGCTGCTTTTCAGAGGGAGGTTTTTACAGCAAAGTGTATTAATGGCGTCCTCACCCAAATTGTCGAGGCTGGCAGGAAAGGAGGGTGGAAATCCAAAAAGGGTACAGGACAAGGGAAGAAGTTTTTCTGCTGCCCTTACTGTCAGACTATGGAAAACCTTTTCTCCTCTGATACCCCTCTCCAACCTCTCCTTGTCAGCCCATCAGCAAGACAGACCAAGACATTGTTCCTCTGCTTCCATCACTTAAGCACTGAGTTGCTGAACATGTTTATTTACAGACAAATCCTCTCCCTGGCTGGTTTTTTCCCCTTTCTTTTTTCCCTTTTCTTTCTTTTTTTTTTTTGTGGTCTTGATTATTTTTTAGGGGTTTTTTTTTGTCATTTTATTTTTGCAATGCTGCTGCAGTGAGGGTTTACCCTTCCCAGTTTCTCCCCAGGCTTGCCTCGGTGGTGTGTGTGTGGAGAGAGGGGCTTTTCATGCTTAAAATAAACCTCTGGCTCTCCAGAAGGGCCACAATGTTTTATGGCCAGGGAGCTGTCACAGACCCAGAGCAGGAGTTCCCATCTCCAAACCCTAAGCCATCAATTAGACAACAAATAGAAAAGGAGAATTACTGTTATGGATTTTCAAATCCTACTACGTTGACTGGCTTATGTTCTGTCATTATGTTACTAATACCCATTTAGCTGATTGACCCTGTGACTCCAACAGCAGATTGAATCTTCTCTGTAAAACGTTGGCCTGGTTTTATTTACCTTTTTGGGTTTTAATAAGGCAAGAATAAAAGATAATTAAAAGAAAAAAGATGAAGAGTAGAAACAAGCCAAGTTTTGAAAGAGTAGAAACGAGTCAAGTTTTGAATTTTCCAGAGAAAAAATAATAGAGTGATATGTTAAATTCTAGATTAATATTAATCCCAGTGAAATGCCATGCATATATAAATTATGAGATATATACAGATATGTGCATACCACTGTATTCTTAGCAGTATGGCCAATGCAGCCTGAACACTGGTACAGTTATAATAAGAAGGAAAGAGACATTTTTTGCAGCAATCAAAGAAAAAAATATGGTCCAAAAAAGAGACATTATAATATAAATTGGTTAAAATTTAGTGAACCGAGTAAGAGTCCCTGAAAGTTTCACCTCCATGCCCTTCCATCATGAGACAGTTTTCAGAGGAGCCACCTGACCTGCTGTAACTCCTTAACCTTACCCTCTCAAAGGCAAATTCCCACTATTTCCTCCTGTGAATCATGTTTTCTGTGCCACAGATGGTGGTGTGCTGGTGGTTAACCACAGCCCCAGCATATTGTATAAACACAACCTCAGCAGGGCAGCCCTCCCAGAGCCCAGGCACAGGCACAGGAGCAGCTCTGCAGGCAGCAACCACCCACTAATGAGGTGCATCTTTATTCTCACCAGGAAAGAATAAATGTCTGCAGGTCTCATCGGTTCAGACACCCAAGTGTCACCTCAAGGTGTGGAGATTTCCATTCCTAAATGGATGCAACACCGTGTGGCCTCTGGGTTCTGCCTCTGAGACAACCCAGATGGCTGATGCCTAAAGTGGAATAAAGATCATGGCAAGAGGGAAGGTTTGGTGGGACAGGGATCTTTTGAACCAGAGGATGCATCTTCCTCTCTATTAAAAAAATCATCTTTAGGTCCTAATGCACCTTGATCTCATCCACCCAACCATGACCACTGGCTCATAACACTTGTTTATGGAAAAGCCAAAAAAGCATCCTCGAATCAAAATGCAATTTTGCCCTCAAAAGCAGCAAAAAAAAGTTTGGCAGGAGGTGTAGCTGCTCTGGTAATGTCACAGGAAAGAAGTGCTGCATCTGAGGAGTAAAAAAGAAATGTATTTCCAGGGACTTTAGCCAAGTCAGGAAAGCTTACTTCTATTTTAAAACATCATTTGGCTTTCCCGAGCTGCCTGAAAAATTCTCTGGATGAATCCTGGCCCTAAAACACCCACCCAAATGTCAGTTTGGGGAGTAGTTAATAAGGTCAGAACCCTTTTCTCCAGGATGGAGAAAGATGCTGCAGAGTTCAAACCGTCGATGTGGAGACACTGTACAGGACAACCATTAAAGTCCAGCCCCAGTGCAGGTGCTTTCTGTCCTTTTTTGGAGCATATTTAGACAGTTTTAACTTAATCCACTTCCACAGGTGATCCAAACCCAGCTGGCAGGCAGCCAGCAAAGGGCACCCTCCCTCACAG